GGAAAACAGCAAAGCGGAAGAGACGAGAGAGGTTTAGCGACCGCGCGATGGACAAAAGGAACGGATTCGGTCGAAACACTCCGACGCGATCAGACGTGCTGATTCTATACTGTACATTCGAATAAAGTGAATTTAGTCTCAATACTCCTCAAAACTGAAATACTTATTATTCGGACATCATCCTAGCACAAGACTAACGAATAGAATAACTCTGATCTCGCGCTACATAGCCACACGCACAGGCAATAGACTAAAATACAATTCTAGAGTACAATACAATACATAAAAGAAATATGGTATAATGTTATATTATATCTATATACATATTTATGTGTATATATATGTATATATATATATATATATAATAAGTATATAAAATATACATATATATTTTTATAATATATAAATACCTGTATATAGATACTTTTGTATACAGTCCCATTTTCCTTAGGCAAATATCTCAAAAAATATGGGAGATACGAAAAAATGTTTCAGACAAAATTAAGTTATAGGATATGAAGGGAAAGACATAATGATAAAATCAATTTTACAAAAAAATCGATTTTTCAAGATCACATGGAGGATCCTCTATTTTTTTAAATGGAATGGCATGATTTTTTTAAATAATATGATTTCTCTAATCTGTATATAAAAGTATTGAGGTACAGTTATAGAAAAATCAACACTATCAGATAATTAATAATTTATTATACTTCGACATAAAATATGATAAATCAACACTTTATAAGATATTTATTAATTTATCATATTTCAACATGAAACATCTCGTTAACTATTAATTTCTTGATAATTGTATCTTAATATACACAGAATAATGAGATGAATTGATTAGTGTAAAGGAAACATATACAGTTGCTTTAAAAAAGCAATTTTACATATTTTTTGCAAAGTAACTGTGTGTTTTCTTTACATCAATCAATTCATCTCATTATTCTGTGCATAAAAATAGAGATATTTTATGTCGAAATATATATGTCAAGATAAAATATAAAATATCTCGTAAAACACTGATTTTTCGATAATTTTAATACTTTATATGTAGAATAATTAGAGGAATTATATTCATTAGAAAAAATCATATTATTCCATTAAAAAAATTTTACCATTAAAACATTACCATCAATATTATTAAAATAAGTAAAACTACGAATTTTTCTGTTTTTAGAGGACAAAACGATTTATTATCCCACCGACGATGATTTCCTTATGATCTATCTCCGGCCGTGCAAATTTTATCCAGAGAGTGCGTTGGCGCTGATGAGACGCGTCGCGGACTTCAAAGTGAAGCAGGCAGCCCTGCTGCACAATCTATTGCCGAGCGACGAGAAAGAGGCCTTCACCAAGTACAATGTCGTCAATGTGTTTACAAACCTAGATCACAAAAATCGCAGGGTGATGGTTGTGAATGCCGGCAAAACCTGGGATCCATCGAAAGTCAACTCCGACCAAATTTTCCGGCTTTTCTACTTGATACACCAGCTGGCCCTTCAAGAACCGGAAACGCAGGTATATGAATCAAATATTATTTTACGTTTCAACCTCAATGAATACGATAGTAGTCGTCTATCTGAATAAGCCGATCTGCAATCCGCTCACTTTCACAATACATTTCTGATTAATTCGGCCGTTCACATCGGTTGGAATGCTTCACCTTAGTTGACTCTGCCCATTCTCGTATGGCGATAATGAATCTGCTCCGCATTCTTTTATTATTTGACCTCGATCTATAACTATTTTAATATATATTAATTATTGCTTTTACTCATTTTACATACATAACATTCTGTAATAAACGCAAGATGTGCCTCTGTTCTCTGTAATTGACCTACGTTTCGTACTTTGTATGTAAATTATTATTGAGATAGCTGAAGATGGCTAGGTAAACCAAAACATTTCATCTTGTCAACTTTATAGATTAATAAAGAATATATTATATTATTTTATTATCCAATCTTTGCTCGTATATTTAGACTTTATTTTATTTTTTTATTTGAAGTATCATAATTTGACGTAGCTTGTCCTCATATACATGCAGGAATTAAATTAGTTTCAGGTATTAAGCAATACTTTCCAATATGTAAAGAAATGTGAAGGAAATTTAAATTAAATATTTGAGATATTAAGTAATGTATTACAATATTAAGAAAATGTGATGGAAAAGTTTAAATTAGATATTCTGTTTTTAATTTTTGCATGTACAAGTCTCGCATACAAATCCTTGTGTATTACAAGAGAATGAATTAATGCTGTGGATATGTACGTGTGACACGTGTGTATAATCATCGAATTGAATGCGCGATAACTCACGATCAGCAAAATTCCATTGCCTTGACTATGCAAAAAGGAAATTTAAACTTTTGCAATCAATGCCAGAAGAAGCAAAAAATATTTAACAACGTTGATTATTTGTCATTAGAATTGTTAAATTATTAACCGAAATTAACAAAGATAATTTTGGTCAATAATTAGTTAATAAAATTTCAGTTATAAATAACTCAGATGATTTAAAATTCAAATTAACATAAAGGAGCTATATGAGCCAAAATGTTAAATTCATTTTTGGATTATTATTTCGTTATAACAAACGTTTCCGAACATTGGATCTTCAGTATATAATACAATATTTATATTTAAATCACAGTCGAAATATGATGATGCTAGATATATGCATGTATAACAACCGCAAACGCTTATAGATATATAGATTGTATACGGATTAGCAGTTAAATTATTAAATTTTACACACACACACACACAAAAGTTATTTGTGTGTCCTAATTTAATTTAACTAGTAACTATTTTAATTTTAATGAAGTTATAGTATTCGACCTAATTTTGACGGCCGGATGTAAGCGCGAATCAGGCATGATTGCACTTTGCTCGATTGATAAGAGATCCGATGAATAATCTAATGTCAATGTAAGACAGAAAGAGAGAAGCGAGAGGAAGAGAGAGAGAGAGAGAGAGAGAAGAAAAACGAGATAGCATTAAATCTTTTCTTATAAAAATTAGATATGTCGGAATTATTAAATAATCTGTAGAATAATCGGAAGTATATATTTAATCAACATTTTAGTTTTATTAATTATTTAATTACAAGTGCTTATTCTTTTTCAGATATATGGTTCCGTGGTCATAATGGATTTTGACGGACTATCCATGAAACAAGTCACAGGACTGTCGCCAGCCTGGAGCATGAGACTCCTTACTTTTATTCAAGAAGCAATGCCAATGCGTTTAAAGGCGGTAATTAATATCATATAAAATTATATGTAAAATCAGTTTAAAAAAATTGTTTTGAGAATAGAAGGAGTTACATACTTTTAAAATCTTGTAACATGGATCAAATATTGAGAATAAGTATCATTGCTTTTTATTTCTAGTTCATATGTAATAGTAACCATTTTATATTCTGGAAAAAATCAATTATTACGTAAATATTATATAAATCAAATCATTAAATATTTCTAATTATATAAATATGTTACATATTTTAATTATATTCAATATTCCTTAGGTGCATTTTGTCAAACAACCGTGGTTGTTTAATATGGTGTGGCAAATGATTAAACCATTTGTGAAAGAGAAATTGAGGACACGCATGTTCTTCCATGGCTCCAAGATGTCTTCCCTCCACACTCACATCCCACCGAGTCATTTGCCGAAAAACTATGATGGTGAATTGCCAGAAATAGATTATAGCGGTGCCGATTGGTATCCAGTAGCATTTTCTTACGAAGACAAGATTAGAGGTAGATATATATCGAAAATAAATCGATAAAAAAAAGAAATATATATATGTGTGTGTATATAAAAAAACATTTTCTAAAAAATTATAAAAGCATACGAGAATTTTGAAAAATCGTATAAAAAATTATAAGAAAAACTTTTGCGTTATTTATTTATTTTTGCATTAATTTATTCTTAGATCAATCCAACTCTTTTTGAATAATTTGTTAGAAATATTTTTATATAAATCACTTTTAATACAAACTAAACTTTATTAAATTCAATTCTAATATTTTTTACAAATTAAATTTATCATATAGAGAATAAAAGTTATAAAAGTTTAAAATTGTAACACACACACACACACACACACACACACACACACACACACACACACACACACACACAGCAA